CGAGAGGATTGAAAATTGTTTGTTAAATTTTTCAGGCGAAAAATTCGTTTTTTTCGAGATGAAACGAGAGAATATTTTGAAAACATTGAAAACGTATGCACTATTTATCAAATATTTTAATCTAAATTCCTGTTTCCGATTTTTACCAATCTCTGTCGTTAATCGTTGCGCAAGTGTTGTGTGCATGACCCAGAAGAAACAGTTCTATCCTTGTTCCTTAACAACTGGCCATTCTTCTCTGTCAATATTTGCCATTATCGAAAGAGAAAGTGAGTACTCTAGATAACAGATGAAGATTGAAAGAAAATTTTTCAACACCTTATTCCTTATCAATCTGTATCAAGTTCGAATGGTTAATACAGGGTCGGCCAAGAATCACTTCCTACTGAAATAAATTTTTTTTACTATATATATTTTACAATTTTTTTCTTTTCACAGGTGTTCAAAACATAATGAAAAAATCGTGTTTGAACGTAAAATTAATAAAATTTGTTTTTCCTTATATTTTGATGTTTTATTAAAAAAAAAAAAAAAAGAATTTTTTTAACATAATGATCAAAATATACCATATTTTCTCTGATATGTTTTGTTTTAGAAAAAACTACATTGAGAAAATGTGCACTGCGCTAAATGTTTCGCCAAACAGAAAGAAATAAGTGCATGTTATGTACATACTTTGTACCTACATGTACGTAACAAAGATTGACAGTGATGATTCATTACGGCAATGCAATCATTCTTCATTTATCTGTCGACGAAGTAGATAACCGTGTCGTAGAAAATCTAACCGTAATTTCGTGAGAATAGTATTATTTGTTCTCTCATTTACTAAGAGAGACAGAATGAACAATTGTACATGATATTTGATAATTGTACTTCACCTTCTTACTGTAAATTTGTTTCTCAATATTCACTGAAGTAAGTTCTGTTAACAATAATAATACGTAATATAATACAAATATGTACTATATTTCTCCGTTTTTATTTATTTATTGCATACACACATATATTATTGTATTTATGTGCACTTGTTAACTCTGCAATCCATTATGCATATCATGGATCTATGAAGTGATACCCATAAGCAAATGTGTCACAAGCATTAAATTTACACAATCTATGATATTTATTAATATTATTAAATTAATATTATAATAATATTATAATTAATATTTTATAATATTATAATTAATATTTTAATAATATTCAAGACACAATTTCAGATGTAGTTTGATAATATTGATAATATTGTGTCCTTAATTTCAGATATTATCCCTCGGTTATTTATTCGTACTGGGCAGCGGCGCGATTGAGCCATCCGAACCGAAATTAACAACCAAATTAACACCGGTGAATAGCCCATCGTACGAGAATAACGTCAAAGATTTAACAGCTGCCGCGAGCGATCGAAGTAAGTACTATTGCCTGTACTGTTAATGGAAATACCTTTCGCGTTGTTACGTATACGAATCGGCATATCATGTTGGAAAAGCTAGAAAAATTAAAAATAACATGAAAGGTAATATGAGATTGTAAATATAAAATAGAACTAAAAATTTCGTAAAGAAAAGTCATATAGTGTCGGTCTCATCTCAAAGCGCAAAGTTTCTACAAAGCTTTTGACAATCATTTTTCGAACATGTAGTGGATGGGAAAATCATAGAAATTCAAACGCGTGTAAAAACATTAAAAAAATTTCTTTCACGACCTAGAATCTACCATGGCTTTGAAAATTGAAACATTCTCTTCATAGTGATCCTTTGAAACTGGTTGTACGACTTTTTTTTTTCATTTTGACGATTTCTCGATTTTTTTTTTTTTTTAATGAAATTATATCAGTTTAAATTATCGATTAATTTTTCATTGTCATTGGTTTACGATCATCGCTGTACTGTAATGTATCACAATACATTTTTTTACGTTTGTCTTTACTCGTAATTTATTTCGAAGAAATTCAATCGGCCTGCGTGAAATGAACGTACGATCTGATATTCCGAGAATATCATTTTTTATCGTAGTAATCGCGAAAAGGAAAAAAGAATAAGAAGAAGAGGAGCGAGGGAAGGAGGATTCTAACGTTATTTAGTGCGTTCAGAGGATACTCATAACTGCATAATTACGCGAATCCTCGTGGTCTCGTCGCCGTTGCGGCGAAATGACGACTGTTTCTAGGCATTGATCGATCGTTATCCAATCTTTTTTCAAACGCATTAAATAAGTGTGTCACTACCGTTCCCACGATCCGGCACTTCGAACGGATTTCATTGTAAAAAGAAAAAGAAAAAAAAAAAAAGTGACATTCGATGTAATAACATGCTAATCCAACGAGACTAGCTGAAGGTCCTGCCGACAGTCACCGACGTCTTTTCTAACAACCACGCCGTGTTCTGTATTAGATCACTGGTATAATGACTCACGTAACGGAATAACAGAATTTGCATGGAGACGCGTGCGTTTCTTCAATTATTCGCACGCTCCAACGAGCACTTCGTTCGTTTTCATTTCGCGTCGCGGAATAAGTTTCATTATCTGGGGATCATTAGAGAAAGAGAGGAGATGATTTGGATGATATACATCGACATTAATAATTATAAATATTCAATTACAATTATTTACATTTAATCACAATGTCTATCAATTATTAATATATACTGTATTAATCAACATTGCTTGATTCAAATCAAAGGATCAAGCTGAACAATTTTGAAGTACGACAAGCTTTTTACACGTGGAATTTAATAATTATCATTGAATTATTTCGTCATGGTAATTAACGAACAATTCACGTGTCACAAAATAATTTTATTATCGTAATTATCTGCGATCGGCAGCACGCGTGGTCTTCATTAAATATCGAATTCAACTCCGGCAAATATGATACTTCAATGAGACGTTAATATTCCAAATAGCGACACACCAAATGTTAATTATGTAAATTTATTACCCGCACGTTGTTTACACACACATACATACATAATCTCGTGTGTATCGTCTGTATTCATGCATTATCGTGTACGGGTTACTCTCATTTCAGGCAATTTTATTAATCAACGCCACAGTTGTATTTTAACGTGATTTACTACACGCATTTCGGCGTGATCAATCATTCGTGAAAATCATCGTTCAACGCTACGTCATTTCCGTTACTATAGATCGACGTGGGCAGAAGATGTGCATGTGTGAATAAGTGTTCTACCATTCACTGGCGTTCGCCAAGGTTTTACCCATTCTTTTGTACACGGTGTGAGACATAAGACTGTCTTCCCGATTCTTGCAAGAATGTACACACGATATACTTAAATGAGTTGAATATTTATTATTCATTATTTCTTTGCTAAATATTGAAACTCTTATAATTTTGTGAAAGAAAAAAAAAATATCATAGAACAATGGACTCGTTTCAAATCTTGAAGCCACTAAACGCCTCGAGATTTAAAAATGCATCGTTCTAAAATATTTTTATATCACATAGCGCGAGCGATCGAAATGAATGATCAGTTTTGAGCTCAAGTTTATTATCGTGCGATTTTTACGAAATTGTAACAGTTTCAACATTTATATAGTGGACAAAACAAATTTCTTTTAGGCTATTTCTAGGTTTACTGATGTTCATAAAAATTTTAAAAAATTGCCTAAACTTTTGTACACAGTGTGAGACATAAGTTTTCCCGATTATTGCAAGAATGTACACACGATATACTTAAATGAGTTGAATATTTATTATTCATTATTTCTTTGCTAAATATTGAAACTCTTATAATTTTGTGAAAGAAAAAAAAAATATCATAGAACAATGGACTCGTTTCAAATCTTGAAGCCACTAAACGCCTCGAGATTTAAAAATGCATCGTTATTTCGTTCTAAAATATTTTTGTATCACATAGCGCGAGCGATCGAAATGAACGATCAATTTTGAAACGAGCTCAAGTTTATTATGCGATTTTTACGAAATTGTAACAGTTTCAACATTTATATAGTGGACAAATTTCTTTTAGGTTTACTGACGTTCATAAAAATTTTAAAAAATTGCCTAAAGCACGCGTTCCAATAATTCGAATTGACGAAACATCATGACGTGACTATTCCCATCTTTCGGATTTGCTTATTTGGGGGATTTTTTAAATTCTCGGCGATCCTGAAAATATTTGTGTGCGACAAATTGTCGAAGATGTCGAAGATCGTTATCGTTGGAAAGTATCTCTGCTCGACAGAGATTTACGTTTCGAGTACATACTCGTTATCGTTTCAAGTATTCCATTAGAATTTACCTCGATCCCCTTGTAAATCACAACAATTCGTAGAAACCGTTCTCTTGTTTGGTCTGACAATGAGTATTCGCATGTAATTTGCATGTAAATCGCTCGTAAACCAGTAGCTTCGATTCGTCGATTGCAATTAACACGGACTGAAGATTCCGAAAGAGAAATATGATAAATAGATTCTGATAATTTAAGGTTTAAAAATGTAAATTAAGCATACTTGATAACTTAATGAAGCTTCTGGAAGCTGAAGCAGTGCATTAACATCTTTAACGAAATATAAAAATACAGAAATACGAAATATAAAATTTGTAGCGGACGGATTAACGTGCAAGGATTTATGTTTTACAAAAAAATTATCCAATCAGTCACTAAAAATGCACTGTCATAAATATATAAAAATCCTACGGAAAATTATAAACTGGTCGTTTTGACCATTTTGATAGTTCTAGTGTTGCAATATCATTTAAAGAGATAATTACTTAATTTCGATAATATGAGATTGAATATATTGAACCTTTAGAAAAGAGTGATTTTGTGATCTTTGATTGACAAAAAATGGATATTGTTATTAAAAAAAAAAAAAAATCAAGAATTCTTTTATCATCGAGGATGCGTCTTTTCGATCGATTAATAACACAGCGAAAATATTGATTTTCTCAAAAGTTCCGTTGATTCCAGCGTTTCACCTGAACAAAGACTATCAACCTGGGGTCGCACCATATGGAAGTTACCTCGGCCTTGGTGGTTCGATTTATGGCCCTGGTACGGCATATCGTGGAACAGGCTTGAGTCCCGGATACTTAAATCCAGGCTACAGAGGCTATCCAGTGGGTGGGCCAGGTGGAATTATTGGGGGCGGCCATATAGGGTGAGAGATTCGCAATTCATAAACGTGTCGCATGGTCTTCTGATCTCTCGAAGAAAGGAAATAGTTAGTTCGCTTAGAAACAATAAAATGACGCATTGGGAACAATTTCGAGAACTTGAGAATCGTCTCTTCGATTTGAAAATTTTTCTCAAAAGCTCAGGTTTCAAGTTAAATTCTTCGATAGCTCAATATGTTTTATAAATATGTGAATCTCGTTCAAGTTCTCTAGATAAATAAGTTTCATACATTTAACTTGCATTAGGTTGCTAGGGTTAATAATAATTCCTGAAGCCTCAATGATAGTAAATCATCACTTGTGATACTCAGTTGTCTTTCGAACAGCTTCACAGAAAAAAACAGTTCCCGAGAAATTTGCTGATTTCAGAAAAAGGCATACAGACTAAAAGAGAGTAGAAATCACACGATTCCGGTCGATACAGTCACCTTATTATCAAATGCTCTTTTAATATTAGGTATGGCTATTACGGAAACCTTGGATACAATCCGGGATATAAAGGCTATGGATATCTTGGTTATGATGGTTATGGCGGCGGTTATGGTGGATACGGTGGAAGCTCTCTAGGGGGCTATGGTGGTTACGGCAGCGGATATGGTCCAAGTGGTTACAGTTACGGTTCCGGTATCTACGATGATGGATATTATGGCTATGGTGGACGTGGTAGTTACGGACGTTACGATGGTTATGGATATGGGACTGGATACGGTGGTTACGGAGGATCGAATTATGGATCCTCGTACAACGTGAGGGGCAGCTACGATCCGTATTATCGTAGCACCAATTACGCAGGCTACACTGGTAATCCATCGGGATACAGAGGTTATTCTTAAGCCTTCCTAATAAAGAATGCAACACGAGCGTTACAGTAGTTTTTTTTTTTTTTTTTCATTTGCCAATACTGATTCAACTGTGTACGTGGCGTGCGTAAGTTTTACTAACATTAATCCGTATTAACGTTAATGCATAGATCGTAATTTTGTATTGTTATTAATTCTTCGTAAAGTGATGTATTTATATTTTATCGATGATAATAAATACAGTTCGGCTGATAGAGCTATGATTTGTCCACTGTAGATCGAAGACTTCAAATGTTATCATGATTATTTTTATTTAATAAAAATACATGATTCATGCTTACAAGGAACATATTGGATGAACGCAATATCAGTTGTATGTACAATTATGTATAATTTATTGGAAATTTCGGCGGCCGCGTGTCTTATACACCAGTGTACAAATACAATAGAATTATCTTGTTAAGATATCGAGCATGTACAGATAAATACGAGAAGATTCAACCAGATAAGTTCGAACTTGAATCCTATTTTTTGTTTTCCTTTGTGGAAAATATTTGATGTTAAGAATTTTTTTATCCGCGACGATCGTTCTGTACGTGCCCAATAGAAATTACAATACGTATTAGCACTTGCACAATCAATATTTAACCTCAAGCATACGTTAAACACGAGAGTGTAATGCGGATGACGTCGTTTCTCGCGATGTTCGTACAATTCAGGCGGAAAGGAGAAGCTTTGAAAAAAAGTACGATTAAGTACATTATTCAGTTAGTTTCTAGCTGAATAACTCACGCGATCAACATCGAGCGAAACGAAACAATATCCTCGAAATTAAATACTAAGTGATAATAAACTAAATACATATATATTTGCGTCGTTACAACTACGAAGAGGAAGAGCTACGAATAGATTTAGACTCGATACATAAATATCCTTACCGTTACGAAACAAAAAAAAAAAAAAAAA